GGGCCTCAGCCTTGTGGAGTCAAGGATAGGCAGCCGACAAGGCCATTGTGGTCTCCTCGCTGTGTCTTCCTGCCCTGGTGGCCTTGGTAGTCTCTCAAGCCTGAACCTCAGCAGCTCTGGGAAGCGGATGGGCTCTGCCATCCTCCCAGCCCTCACCATACTCTTTGAAAGCTGTGCTGTGGCTCCTAATCACAGCATCGGTGCAATATTTTTAAAAGTTCTTTATTGTAAGTTCATGGGTGTTTTGCACTACAAGAAGCATCAAATCCCGTGGGAAATACAGTTGCAGATGGTTGTAAGCTGATATGTGGGTGCTGGGAATTGAACTCAGGACCTCTGAAGTCCTAACTGCTGAGCCGTCTCTCCAGCCCCATCGGTACACTGTTTTTAAGTTTTGTTTTTCTTAGCCTGGAGAGATGGCTCAGGGATAAAAACATGGCACACAGCCGAGGACTGGAGGTTTGATTCTCAGAACCCACACAAATGCCAGGTGACTCTTGGGACCTTTAAGGCAGAGAGCAAGCTGGTTAGCAAGACTAGCCCTGTGAGTGAGCTCGGGTTTGCCTGGAAGACCCTGTCTCAATGATAAGGATGAAAGGGCTTCCACATGTATGTGCACACATGTGCACATTCACCCAACCACCTGTTGACAGAAGGCTGATCATTTGTTTCCCAGCCGCCCAGAAACTATATTATTACAACTATATTATTACAACACTGCTTGGCCCATTAGCTCATGCTTCTTATTGGCTAGCTCTTATATCTTAAAATTAACGCATTACTACTAATCTGTGTATCGCCACATGGTTGTGGCCTAACCGGTAAATTTCTGTACTGCATCTGGCCTCTGTCTCCTGAGGCGGCCACATGACTTCTCTTTGACTCTGCCTACTCTCTCCTCCTCGTCTGCTTGGAATTCCCGCCTTGTTCTATTCTACTTTACAATAGGCCCAAAGCAGCTTCTTTATTAACCAATAGTATTCACAGCATACAGAGGGGAATCCCACATCACCCACCCACATATAAATGTGCATACACACATTACACCATATATCCACAGGAAAAATGGGGAAAGTTGCTCTCTCCTTTACAGTGTGAATTCCCTAGGAAGAAAAAAATGTGCTGTAAATGTTGTTGATGGTCCAGCAGCAATGAGCTGACAAGCTGTGACGGCTTTGGCGACAGAGAGAAACACAGACTCCTCTGCCGACTGATGAAGTTCTCTTTTCAGACATCAGTGCAGCTCCGTGTCGGGCAGATGGAACGTCTTCAGGGGTCTGAGCTGGGCAGATGGCGCATCTTCAGGAGTCTGAGGGCCTTCCCAGCCTGCCTTTCATCTCTGAGATGAAGGAAACATTGGCTTTTCTTATTCACATTTTCAGTGTGTTTTCCTAACAATTTCAAGAAAGTTAGTCCCATTGGGCACAGCGCCAAGGAGACTTTGGAAGAGAGACGATAGAGAGATGGTATCCACACCTGGTGCGCTGTGTGAAGACAGGTGCCTCACACGTCACGACAGATCCCTGAAAGTCTCTCTGGTCCCACTCAATCTCCACTGTCATCTTTCCATAGAAGTGAGACTTCCTCTGGTCCCTCATGGTGGCACATGTCTGTAATTCTAGTACCCAGGAGTTTGAGGATCATGAGTTCAAGCCCAGCTTGAGTTTCATAACAAGACCCTGTCTCAAAAAAAAAAAAAAAAAAAAAGGATCTTGTGGTTTTATAGAAATTTCGACACATTGTCTGCTTTCGCCTCAGCAAAGGCCTGGCTTGCATGGCTACATCTGACTTGAGTCTCTAAACCCCGGGGCTCAGAACTGGCAGTCTTCAGCTTGCCTCCACTTCTCACACGGAATTTCTTATTTGTTGTAGCCTGAGAACAGTTTAGACCAGTCTGCTGCGGCTTACCGTAGTCTGAGAAGTCCTGGGTTTAAGGCGGTGGAGGAGGTAATTACATTTTATGTAAACAAGCATATCTTTATTTTTGGCAGCGCGGGTGGAGTGAAGACAGGGGTAGTGCTGATGGCCGAAGAGATTGATGCGAGGACAAAGAACAGGAAGTGAATATCACTTCCCCTTCTCTGCGGTCACTATTAATCTCTCCAGAGGTCTCTTTTGGTGGTGAGCCTAGCCTTTCATGGCTGAGCTGTCTCTCTAGCCCTCCAGAAGTCTCTTTGGTGGTGAGCCTAGCCTTTCATGGCTGAGCTGTCTCTCCAGCCCTCCAGAACTCTCTTTTAATGCCATGTATTCGAAACGTTTTGTTATAAAAATGCCATTATTAAAAAAAGAGAAAGAAAGACTGTCGGGGTCTCCCTCACTAGTTTCAGTCTGGAACTACAAAGTAATTGGGGGTTCTTTGTTTTGTGTTTCCCGCTCTCTGCGTATCACATACTGAGTCCACGGACACCTGAAGCTGCAGAGTGCTGACGTGTGTGGAGGGGGCTTCCTGCAGAAGCATCCGTGACAGAGGTGATAATTTAGGCTTAGGAGATTGACAGCAGTGAGACAGTAGAATCGAACAGTTACGATCGTCTACTGATTGTAACCAAAGTTGTGTGACCAGGGTCTTTCTCAACACACCTTACTGTATTAAACTCGCTCTTTTGTTGACCGCGAGCAACTGAAACCCCGAGAAATGAGGCTAGAGATAAAGGGGGGGCAGATCATTACAACACGCATTTCCTAGACCAAGTCACACAGCACAAGCTCCCGCAGGAGAGGAAACAGCCAAACAGTGCACGAGCCCTGAGTCGCAATCTTACTTAGAGGCACAATGGAGACTATAAGGCAATGTATTGACAACCTAGCCACACACTTTAGAGAATGTACCATTATCAGGTGGAATTCCTTGTAGGCATGCAGAAAAGTCTGTCCATTACTTAACCTTATCTAAAAATCCACTGGTTATGTTGATACTGAGAAGCTATATTTCCGGAACCCTGCATGAGCTGAATATCTCGGTTAATACTGTATAGTAGTCACATTGAAACATCTGTGATGTTTCCTTTTGTTTTTTTAGTTTATATGCATAGGTGTTTTGCCATGGGGGTCGGGACCCCTGGAACTGGAATTACAGACAGTTGTGAGCTGCCATGTAGGTGCTGGGAATTGAACCAGGGTCGTCTGGAAGAGCAGTCAGTGCTCTTAACCACTGAATCATCTCTCCAGCCCAATGTTTCCCTGTTTCAAACATGCTAGTGGATACAGTGAACGAGATTATTGCTGCTGGGGAGGTGGCTCAGTGGAAAGAGCACTTGCTCTACAAGCACAAGGATCAGAGTTCAAATCCCTAGTACCCACATGGAAGAAGTAGGCACGGCCCTAAGTGTGCCTATAACCCCAGCACGGTGTGGGACAGAAACGGGAGGACTGCTGGGGCTTGCTGGCTGCCAGCCTAGCTCACAACAGATCCTGTCTCCAGAGAATATGGCGAGAGGAACAGAGCAGTGTTATCCTCTGGTCTCTGTGTTCATGCACAACACACACTCTCTCTCTCACTTCAGTTTAGTTCCGCATCGCTTTGATGACACATTTGTAGCTGGATGTGGAGCACATGCCTTTGATCCCAGTACTCTGAGGGCTACGAGTTCCAGTCCAGCTTGATCTTCAGAGAAAGTTCATGTCTTTAAAAAAAAATTTTTTTTTTAAGCCAGGCGGTGGTGGTACACACCTTTAATCCCAGCAATTAGGAGGCAGAGGCAGGTGGATTTTCATGAGTTTGAGGCCAGCCTGGTCTACAGAATGAGTTCCAGGACAGGTTTCAAAGCTACAGAGAAACCCTGTCTCAAAAACAAAAAAAAAAAAAAGAAAGAAAAAAAGTAATTTTTAAAGATATAGTGATGGAGGGCTGGAGAGATGACTCGGTGGTTAAGAGCACTGGCTGCTCTTCCAGAGGTCCTGAGTTCAATTCCCAGCAACCACATGGTAGCTCACAACCATTTATATAAAGAGGTCTGGCATCCTCTTTTGGCATGCGGGCATATATAGAGGCAGAGTGTTGTATACATAATAAATAAATAAATAAATCTTTTTTTTTTTTTTAAAAAAAAACACGTCTTTTAAAAAAAGATATAAGCCGGGTGGTGGCGGTGCATGCCTTTAATCCCAGCACTCGGGAGGCAGAGGCAGGCGGATCTTTGTGAGTTCGAGGCCAGCCTGGTCTACAAGAACTAGTTCTAGGACAGGCTCCAAAACCACAGAGTGACCCTGTCTCGAAAAAAAAAAAAAAAAGATATAGTGGGCCGGGCGATGGTGGCTCACGCCTTTAATCCCAGCACTCGGGAGGCAGAGGCAGGAGGATCTGTAAGTTCGAGGCCAGCCTGGTCTACAAAGCGAGTTCTAGACTACTCAGAGCTGTTACACAGAAAATCCTGTCTCAAAAACCCAAAACCTAGACAAAACCAAAACAGCTGTGGATCCTCCATCCCTCTCGTCCTCCTCTCCTTCCTCTTTCCATTCTTTTGCTCAGTTTTTGAGAGTCCACGTAGCCCAGGCTAACCTCCGTGAACTCTACTGGCTATAAGGCCAAGGAGAGACTTGAACTTCAGATCTTCATGCCTCCACTCCCCGAGTGGGATTTCAGATGCCCACCACACTGGGTTTATGCAGTTCTGGGCACCGAACCCACAGCTTCTCGCATACTAGACAAGCCCCCTGCCGGCTGAGCTGCACTGTGAGCAGCTGGTAGAGTTTTAAGTGACATTAACTAAGTGTGTGTGTGGGGGGGCAGCCATTCTTTGGTTTCTCACTTGCAGGAGTTGGTGAGTCTCCTGGCTCCATCGTTTTGCATATCAATCTAACCAGGTAGAAGCAGCTGGGCTGGAAAGTGTCCTCAGTAAGAAGGAATATGGGTACTAGGTTGCTGGCAGGCTCTCAGTCAGCCTGGCTCGGTGATGGAAGTGGCCACAAGTTGTGGGAAAGACAGGGACCCTGCCTGTGGGAATTCACGAACTAGGACATTGTGGGGCACAGCCTTATCTTGAGTCTGTGTTCTTGGCTAGGTTAGCCCCGGTGAAAGAAGGTGTGTGGGCTCCGAGACAGATCCCTTGAACTGGAGGAAGGGCACATGTGGGATTGCTGTCCAGACTGGTGCCTCCTTTCAACAGCAAGAAACTACGTTAGTAGAGAACTCTGAGGAGCAGAAGGAAGCTCAGAAGCCTCAGAACAAGGCAAAGTGACTTGGATTTATGACAGCTCGGCCGATCACGGGTATCCCGGACATACTTTGTATGTGCATGATGTTCATGTGAAAGGTGGTGAAGGGTACTCAGCCTGACAGGAGCGCTGTCAGCGGTAAATGAGGTCAGGACGAATGAGGCTTGTTACGAGTAAAGCTTATCAAATGGCAACCACGGGTCATAACAGTAAAACTGTGCTCTGGTAGTAGAGATTAATAAAGTGAGAAAGAGCTGTCACAATGCCAGCCACCTGTGACCTACTGTTCTTGGTGCCAGCCAACACAGTTGGTGTGGCTGTTATCAAGGCTGCTGTTATTGGTGTGATGCTGGGCACCGTGACCTGCTGTTCTTGGTGCCAGCCTATTGTGGTTACATCAAGGCGGTTACTAGTGGTGGTGCATCCTGGCGTTCCTCATGATCCCCTCAAGCACTCGCTACAAAGGCGTCGGCCATGAGCTGTGCTCAGGAGTTTGGGGCCACGTCTCACCTGCTTGCCTGCGCTCTTCCCTGGGCCCGTGCACTTTTGCTCTGCCACTAGAGCTTGGTTTCCTCATAGGATCAGCCTTCTTGACCTTAACTAGGTGGAACCCCCACCCCACAGTGCAGGCACGACCACAGTTCTCCTCAACACGCTAGGTTCCATGTTACCCCCAATAATGAGGGGAAAGAATCAGTCCTCTCCTGGGAGACAGGCAGTTCTAGGTTTTTATTCCCATTTGAGCTTTCTCAGAGGTTCACTGTGGCAGCTGTCAGCTTCCCCTGGGTCTCCAGGCAGGCCAGGTGATGCAGGAGAAGGAGCTGGGTTACAGCCAGGGTAGAGAAGGCAGAATCATCCCTCTTAACCCACACCTGTAAACAACGTAACCCTTTACTCTGGTTTCCTTGAGGCGGAAAGCTCCAGAGTGTCCCTGGGGCTCTCAGCACTGGAAAAGGAGAGGACAGGGTGCAGCTTTGGTTTATTCTTTCATAGATCCAGGGTAATGCATCTGCTCCAGGCAAGAAAAGAGACCTCCCAACTCAAGGGAGTCACCTAAAACTTCTGTGTCTTGCCAGCTGCTGAAGCCAAAGGTGTCACTCTGACTGTGACCCCTGTCTCAGAGGGTGAAGGAATGAGCCCCCAACCAGAGCTGGGGACAGTAGCTGATAAACAGACTGGGGCCCTAGACACCCCTTTGGTGGCTCAGGGAACACCAAGGCACCTAGCAGATTGGCAAGCCCCCTTCAGGGGCAGAGAAGTTGCCATTCTTGAAGCTCTCCTGTCATGTGACTTGCGCTGGCTGGATGAACCGCGCTCTTGAGGAGCAGAGGCCCCACGACCCAGACTTGGATGGGGTGCTGGCACGGTTAGCGCAGCCCTGGATCGGTACCCCTTTTGTTCTCCAGCTTCCTCTCTGAAAATTCGTATAAAACCACCAGCTGGACGAGGCTGTCGTGTGTGTCGAAAAGATGCAGAGGAAGGCCAGGCGTGGCGCTCAGCTGTAATCCTAGCACTTGGAAGTGGAATTAGAAGTTCAAGGTCATCGTTTGCCGCACAGGGAGCTGGAAGTCAGGCTGGACTACCTGAGACCCTGTCTCCAAAAAAACAAAGAAGGAAAAATAAAAGCATTGGAAATACATTGCCCAGAGCTTAGAACCAAGAAGAAGGGTAGAAATGGTTCCTACTAAGTAAGACAAAAGCTTTCCATGACAGGACATTTGTGCACATGCCTCAGACCAGCCCGGCTCTCCACGCTCATGGAGACTGTCACTGAGTTTGGAGGCAGCCTCTGCTCTCCTCCACACACAGCTGGCCATGGCCTACCTGTGTGGCAGGTGCCAGCCCCGGGTGTTTGATTCCTCTCCACCGTAGGTTGAGAGTCTCAGCCTCCACAGTGAAGATGGAGTGAATGGGCCTTTGGAAAGTCATTATCTCGTGGGAGCGAAGCCTCATATGGCACTGGATTCTTATAGAAAGATCCTAGGAAGTCAACCCTCCACCATGTGCAGGGATAGGAAGGAAGTGAGCCAGAAAGCAGCCCCTGATGGGCTTAAAATCTGGAGGTGCCATACTCTTGGGTTTCCAGGCTCCCTAACAGTGAGCAACACATTTCTACTATTTGTAAGTTGCTCAGCCCACAGTGTTTTGTTACAGCAGCCGGAACACAGAGAGGGCATACAGACCAAATTCCCGACCCTCCTGGCACTGTTCAATGGGCTGCCAGGCAGCGTTGTTGGCTCCTTGCGTCAGCTCAGGCATGTCTCTGGGTGAGGCTTCCCCTGCAAAATGCTGATTCCAGCTCAGGTGGCCAGATTGTCATGATGGGCTAGAGCATTTGTAATTGATGAGGAGAAGCGTGTGTGTGTGTGTGTGTGTGTGTGTGTGTGTGTAGGTGTGTAGGTGGGCATGCATATGAGTGAGCATGAGGAGGCCAGAGGTCAACCTCAGGTGTTATTTCTCATGGTCTTTCTGTCCTTGCACTTGTGTGTGCTGTTTATATGCTCTTGTGTGTGAGGGTGCATGTGCAAATGTGTGTACATGTATGTACAGGCCCGAGGTCAATACCAGGTTCCTCTTCAACAGTTCCCACCTTAGTGTTTTTGAGATTGGGGCTCTCACTGAATGTGAAGCTCCCCGACTCAGACCACTGGCCAGCAAGTTCCCGGCATCCGCCAAGCTCCATGCCCTTTGTACCGGGGTCGCTGGTGAGTGCTACCATGCAGGCTGTTTACATGGGTGCCGGGACCCAAATCAAATCCTCATGCTTCCACAGCGAGCCCTTTACTGCACTGTGCCATCTCCCCAGCGCTTACTTTGTGTTTTCAGAAAGTGTCTCCCACCACCGGAACCTGGGGTTGACAGTTGCCAAGGCTTGGCTGGCTGGCTGGCCAGCTGTGGGAGACTGCCCAACACTGTATTACACCTGTGCCTCGCACACCTGTGCCCCACATGGGTTCCAGGGATCAAATGCAAGTCCTCGTGCTATGTGGTAGGCACTCTACTGACTAGACCAGCTTCATAGCCTAGGGAAGATATTTTTGTTGGCAATCTGCACTGTATTTTCCTGGTCACAGTTATCTTGGTCCAGAGCAGTGGTTCTCAGCCTTCTAATGCTGCCGCCCTTTAACACAGTTCCTCCTGTGGTGGTGGCCTCCAACCGTAAAATTAATTTTATTGCTACTTTATAACTGTGATTTTGCTACTGTTATACATCATAATGTAAATATCTGTGTTTTCCAATGGTCTTCGGCAACCCCCAAAGGGGTTATGACCCACAGATTGAGAGCCACTGGTCTGGAAGGACAGACTGACTTTCTGGTTGCCTGGAGCTACTGACCCAAACACTCAAACTTAGTATAATAGGTGATCACCTTTGTCACACTCTCACAGTACACACACACACACACATACACACACACGCATGTGCACACACACACGCATGTGCACACACACATATAACACGTGCTCATGCACATACAGACACACACAGATAGACACTCACAAACACACACAT